AGTGACCTACAACCCTTTCTAGCCCAGGGCTAATTACTAATTGTCCCTGTACAGGTGAAGAATAAGATGCTTACTTTGAGGAGAGGAGGCAGTACTGTGTAATTAGGGAGCTGTCTTGCCAAAGCTGCCGAAGCCCTTTATTGTGGTTTTAGAGTCACAGTCTGCCCAGCTCAAACCTATAAGAGCTGCCCTGAGTCACGACACAAGCATGCACATCCCCCAGAATGGAGAAATACGATGTCTTTGGCTTTCAGAGGTGATGAATCACAGCGGGTATCACGGCCAGAGCAGCTCAACGATTTCTAGGTGTCCCCACCAGGAATGCAGGCTTTGCACTCCTCACCTGCATCCTTTGCTTGCAGCATCGAGGACGAGGCCAACTCTTACCGCCTGCACGTGGATGGGTTCAGCGGGACGGTGGAGGATTCCTTCGCCTGGTACCACAACAAGAGGAGCTTCAGCACGCCCGACTCGGGGAACATCTGTGCTGAGATCTCCCACGGGGGCTGGTGGTACCACCAGTGCTTCTTCTCCAACCTCAACGGGGTGTACTACAAGGTGAGGCGCAGGGTCAAGGAGCCGGGTGTTAGCACACACCGTGCTTTTTCAGTGCCATAGGCCAGACACCAGCATTAAGGCACGCCGTGGCTTGGGACCGCATGATGGAAGCTCGCAGTGCGGGGTGATTCATGCGACCTGAGTTGCCATCTCCACTGGGAGCATGTGAAAAATGTTGAGCTTTAGGTGCTCTTGTCACTGCGTCGCCGTTAAGCTCTTTGCTCGGTGTTTCAGAGCAATCTTTTTTTTCGGATGCTCCCATCCGGATGACACTTCTCATGCCCAGCCATCTCTCTCTCTCTGCATCCCAGGGTGGCCGATACTCCATTAAGAACCGCAAGATCCTCGGGCCGGACGGCGTTGTGTGGTACTCGTGGAAGGACACAGACTACTACTCCCTGAGGAAGGTGGTCATGATGATTCGACCACGCACTTTCCGGCCCCACATCTCCCCGTGAAGGAGCCATGGGCGTTCTTCAGTCCACCTAAGAGTGAATGCTGGGAACAGAGGGCTGGAAATAGCTTGTTGTGAGGAAAAACTAGAGACCAAGGAACCGAGCCACCATCCTTCCTGTATTGAACCAACAGCAGAAGTGTCAAGGCCTTCAGCAAGGGACTGGGGGATAAAAGCCCTCCTGACAACATGGAGGTGGGTGATGAGAACTGCTTTGCAGAGGTGAGCATGGAGCTTGCTGGCTCTCCAGGTAGCAGCAGTCCTTGGTGTGCTTGGGCTTCCTCAGGACCCTAGCCCAAATCTGGACATTGGTTTTGGCTGGATGATGGGAGTTTATGTTGAACGGAGATGCTGAGTACCCTGGATGCAAATCTGGCAGTAATTTCAGGCCAGGAATCCTGTGGATATTTTCCACATGGGACGTGATTGATCAGTTCTTTCTCTGTAAAAGGTGAGCATCTCTCTGGGCTGGGTTTCTGTGCTCAGGTGGCCATGTGTGTTTTTAGTACTGAAGATCCACCACTATCACAACACAGATGTCCTAGGGTGGGTTCAAGGTGCTAAGGCAGCCTTGGGAATGTGGGGAAACCATGGTTGAATGGAATCCATAGATGGATTCATGGGAAAAATAGGAGGAAAGTTTGCAGTGGTCCCTGCTTCTATAGCAGGGACAATTTATCTGCAACAATGACACTCCAAATAATCGGATTTAAGAATCAAATTGTTGACTGCTTTCCATTTTCCATTCTGTTTTCACCTTTCCAACCTTTTGCTGGCAAAGAACTTCTGATGAACTTTCTATCCACCTCAAAAGTGATCTTCAGAAATGGTTAGGTATGACATTAAGTCTTCTTTAACTGCCTTACTCTGGATAAAGATTGTCACTGTTCACTTTTAATTTTTGTAGCCACCTCTCAAGCACTGAGTAAATGCTTGAGTATGAGTATCCCCATGACATATTATTATTACAATAATATAAACAATATTATTTGTGGTTTGCCTTGGTAGCCTTCTATGGCAGTTGTTTCCAAGACTGATGGTGTTTGGGAGTTGCAATGCAATGTCCTATGCTGTTGTGCCATCATGTGCAAGGAGCATCAGGGCACTACCAGTGATGAATGGAGAGCTTTCTTGCTTCATGACATGAGTGTCTTGCTTGGCACCATCCTTTTAGGGTTCTGGCTCCTTGCTGCCCTCACTGGGCAGCCCTGTGGACCCACGTAGCACGTTTGTTGCTATGTCTGCAATTGAACTTTGCATCCTGCTGGGGGTCTAGCTACATGGCCCGGCATGGTTTTGTGCACAAGTCAGAAGAGTGTCTGGAACAGTTCTCTTCTGATGTCTTGTGTCAATGAAAGCATTTCCATCTGTGTGATAATTGGAACCCAGTGCATCCACTGGGCATGGAGATCACCTGCCCGTACTCCATAGGTCTCCATGGCTGGAAAAGGCATCTGAACTGGGGATGGAAGAAACACAGCAAAGTCAACAAAAGCTCCTTGGTGTGCGTGGCCTGAGGCTAGGCTGGCAAACACCTTGAGTGGGGTGAAAGTGCTGGGGAAGAGGAAGAACAGGAAAGTGTTATGTTAGCTGTTGTATGATACAGTGCTGAAAGCACTGGAGATATGCCATCCACAGGCTTCTCCCCAGCACAAGTTGTGGTCTCCTGGCTCTGCTCCCCATGTCCTCACTGCCCTCCTCAAAGATTCTGGGGCCTTTCTATGTCCCCATGGCAGGAGCTCCCTCAGTGTCTCCCTGCCTCCTCCATCCTCAGCCCAGCACGGGTTCCTCTTTCCATCGTGTCATGATTTTTCCATCCCTTCAGGCTCCTCTTGGCACATGCTGTTGTGGTCTATGACGTAGAGTCCTTGGGTGGAGCAATATCTTCTCTTCTTCTCTAGTTTCTTTTCTTTTAAAGTTTTTATTAAAATAAGATGCACTAAACAAAGAGTGATTTTTGCTGTGGGTTTACACAGCTCCTACAAATCTGCTGGTGATCAGCCTCAAGAATCGTGCTGATGTACAAGAGCTGTGCATCTTGCCCACTCCTTTTGCCTGTGGCTCTTCTTCCCTTTTAACAGGCTTTTTTGTTGCCCCCTGCTCCTCTCCCACAGAGGATGAGTGTGATGAGCACTGAGCATCACAACCCAGCTTCCATAGGGAGGTCTGGATTCCCTCTGGGATTTGCATTAATGCTGGCACTGAATCTCACACCCATGGGAGCACCTACTCCTTGGTTGGCACCCATCTTGCAAGGCTTTCCAGGGCCAGGACATCCTTGGCTCTGAAGGAAAGAACGCTTGGTTCTTTTGGTAAACCGGTTCTAAATTTTACCCCAACCCAAAAGAAGACAATGCACACACACCACACACTGCACAGGTCATGAGAAAACAAAAGAAATGCCAAGGCAGTTTATTTACAATTGTTGTATACAAAAAAAGGACAGCTCGTGCCACAGCTAGAACAGCCCCCTCCATCTCCTTCGCACGCTGCCTTCTCCCACACTCCCATTTTCGACAGCCCCTCATGGCTCAAGGCTGGCCCCACCCCGGCCCCAGGGTCCAGGCAAGAATCTCATGGCATGAGAAAAGACGCGGCTCCCCCTGGATCTGAATCAGTGCTAGGAGAACCTTATCTGGCCATAGAGGAGACTGAGACCTTGGTTTGGAGCAGGGTTAGAGGTGCCCGGGTCAGGCTGCATTGGGTGTATCCCATCCCTGCTTCCCAGCATGGGGTCATAGAATCATAGCATGGCTTAGGTTGGAGGGGACCTTAAAGATCATCTAGTTCCAACCTTCTGCCATGGGCAGTGCTGCCACCCACCAAATCAGGTTGCCCTGGGCTCCTTCCAACCTGGCTTTGAGTGCCTCCAGGGGTGAGGCACCCATAGCTTCTCTGGGCAGCCTATGCCACTGCTGGTCCTCTTTGCCTCTTGTTTTTTTTTTTTGTTTTTTTTTTTTGTTATTCCATCACAGTTTCCAGAACCTTGCCCAGTTTCCCTCTCCTGCTCCAACACTCGCTATTCTAACACCCATTTAAGCTGCTGACTCTGAAAGGGGATTTCATCCAAGAGTGCCCGAGAAGATGAGCCTTGGGAGATCTCTTACAAAATCCAGCAGCTCTTTGGGAAGTCATGGGGTTTTCCAAATTCACCCTTGGAAAGGATCATCCTGCAGCCAAGTAAAGCCTTTGGACTCCCTCCAATGAGGGCTCTCCTCGCCCCCTCCTCAAAACAGTGCCGTGAGGTCTGTGGGGCTGTAAGCTCCAAATCCAGGCCCTGAAGATGAGGCGGGATGGAGAGAGGAGGGTCACTGAGAGATGCCATTGCCCCACTGGGGTGGGACAGAGGAGAATCACTGCTGGAGGGTCTCTTGCCTGCCCAGCACCAAACGAAAGTCACACACAATGCACATTCCCCCTTTCCCTCCCCACCCACTCCATCCCCACCTCTCCGGCCCCAGGCTGGATCCTTCCGACCTCCTGGGCGGGCGGCACTGATGGACCCCATGGAAATGGTCGCCTCGAAGCCCACCCGTCCGCTCGCCTCCCTCCCCACCCTCCCCAAAACGACTAGGATGGCTTCACTGGTCAACTCTGTACATTCACAAACAACAAAAGCAGAGGGACGTCCCTTTCCGCCGGCCGGCCCAGTGCTGCGGCAGCCTCCAACACCTCCCGGAGCTGTCAGTCCAAACATCGCCTCTTTACCTGGAGGCCTCTTCCTTGAGCTCCTTGTTTTTCCTCACTTCTTCCGCATGTTTGTCCTGTGGGGAGGTGGGAGGGAAGGAGGGACGCGTTAGATCGCCCGACTTCGGGACGGCGGCTTCGCAGGGGTTTCGAAGGCACGAGGTTCGTCCCCGCGGGGACACCGGTGGGTCAACAGCGTCCTCTCCTCCCCCAGGGTGTTTTAAGGACGGTGGAGGCGCTCAGGGACAGACAGAACGATTGTCCTTGCCCTCTATCTAGGAGGTAGACGTCCACCAGACAAGATGGAGCGGGAACCCCGAGGAGATGGGGCGAGCTCGGATTGTCCGCCATTATCTCGTGCTCTCTGCCTCTGACCCAAGGCTGGCTGAGGAGCTTGGAGAAGGGCACTGGGTGAGCTCCGTGCAGAAGGAATGGTTTGGAGGGAGCTGGAGGTGGTGAGGGTGGGACCTTCCGTGCGGAGGTTGGGAGCAGACCTGCTTCGGGGAGAGAGAGGAGGTGTCTGCTCACACCGGCAGGGTGGGAGCACCTCCGACGTGGCGGCATGGCCCCTCCAGCTCCCACCAGTACATCGGGCTCACAGTGCCCCCATGCGTGACCCCCCCACCCCGGGTGGGACGTGGCACTGGGGTAGAAGAAGAGGCCCCCCATTGGTGGTGCCCCCAGGGGTTAGTGTCACTCCAAGAGCCATGTATCCCACCCCTGCTCTCCAGCGTGGGGTCGTAGAACCAAAGAATGGCTTAGATTGGAGCGGACCTTAAAGATCATCTAGTTCCAACTTCTTTTCATGGGCAGGGCTGCCAACCAGCAGATCAGACTGCCCAGGGCCCCATCCAACCTGATCTGGTCCTATGGCACCCTCCTGTCCCTGTGCATCCCCCCTCCATCCTCGCCAGGCCCTCACCTTCTCCTGCAAGCGCTCCAGCATGGCTGCTAAATGGGCCTCGCGGTTCTCTTTGTTGGACTCCATCTTCTGCGCCAGCTTCTCCTTGGCCATTTTGATGAAGTTGTTGTTCTCCTCAATGGCCTTCTGGATGACCTCCCGCTCGTGTTCCCGCTTCTCTGCCAGGTGCTTCAACAGCTCGGCCTCCTGGTACTGTGCAGACAAAACCATGGCCATGTGGACCACAGGGACCATAGGTTCCTTCCCATCCCAGCTGAAAATGTCCCCTCCAAACTAAGTGATGGCCCCAAAGTGGGCAGTGCCATGGGAGTGAGAATCCCAAGTGCAAGGCTGTGGGTCCCCATGGCACATCCCTATGCTGCGCTGCTGAGGAAGACCCCTTGTGCCTACCTTCCTCCTCTCCTCTGCTGCCTCTAGCTTCTTCTGGATCTCCTCCAGAGATGGGTCGCGCCGCCGGGGCAGTGAGGCATTGAACTCAGGAATGCCATCGAATGATGGGGGCTTCAGGATGACCTCGAAAGATTGCCCCGAGGTCCGCTTGTTGAGTTCGATGACTTCCATGTCGGAGATGACACACCAAGTGAGGTCTACCGTGTCTGCTGGAAGAGGGACTTGGTGTGACCTCCAGCATTGGCACATCCCACCCTCTGCCTCCCATGCCATGGGTGATGAATGGACTGAGAGCAGCCCTGCTGGGGAAAAACTTGGGGAGGCTGGTGGATGAAATGGACTGCCGGTGTTGGAGCTAGGCCAGAGGAGGGCCACAAAAATGACCAGAAACATGGAGCATCTCTTCTATGAAGAGGGGTTGAGAGAACTAGGGCTGCTCAGTCTCGAGAAAAGAAGGCTCCAGGGAGACCTGATAGCAGCTTTTCAGTACCCAAAGGGGGCTTATGAGGAAGATGTAGCCTTTTTGCCTGTAGTGACAGGACAAGGTGCAATGGCTTTAATTAGAAATAGGGTAGATTTAGATTGGAAATAGGGAGACTGGTGAGGCACTGGTCCATGTGTACCAGAAAAGTTGTGGGTTTCCCATCGCTTGAAGGGTTCAAAGTTGGATTGGATGGGGACTTGATGCTCCAGTGAAAGATGTCTGTGTCTATGCAAGAGAGATTGGACGGTATCCCTTTGGCCCCAAATGATTCTTTATCTTTGGATAAGCACTCTACATGTCACCACCTTCCCATCTCTCCATGGTTTTCAAGCAAGACCCATACCCCAAATGCACCCCTTATTTCCACCCTCTATCCTGTGAGCTGGAGCAGGGAGCCCAGCCTACCCATTGGGTCCTACCTTCATACGTGTATGCTGGTTTGTTCAGGGGGTCTGAGAGGAAGCAGGAACAGAAGAGGGAGACGAGAGGCAGCTCCTTCATCTTCTCTTTGTAAGCTGGGGAGAGATGGTGGGAGTGGGGTCAGGATGTGGGAGCCTTGCCATTTGCCTGTGATGGGGGTGGTGGCTGGGATCGGAGTTTGCCCAGATGTTGCCAACAGGCTGATGCAGGAGGCATAAACAAGGCATGTAAACACATTGTGCAATGGGGAAACCGAGGCACTCAGTGATGGGATTCTTTTCTCAACACAGGAAGCATCTGTCCTGGTGCTTTAACCACGCATGTGACCCCTTGCCTGGCACTTCTGGGATGCCATTAGCACCCCAAGGCGGGAATTAATCCAGGGCAGGACCATTTCTGGGTGGTCTAGATGAGGCCCTGCTCAGATGAGGGGCTCAGGGGATGCTCCAAAATGGAGTGGATGTCTGGATTGGGTACACAGAGCCACGTTGTCCCTTGTTCCCACACATGGCCCCACGACATACCGGCTAGAGTCATGGCTTGGCAATCCTTGAGTGTCTGCAGCAGCAACAATTCTGGGGCCTGGAGATGGAAAGAGGCAGGATCAGTGCGAGGGATCCAGAGCTGGGGAACATCACCCTTCCCTGTCCTCTCACCCTGGGACAGCTGCACACTGATACTGCGGCGCATGTACAGCCTGGGTTCTGAGTTGGGCACGTACTGGTGAGATCAAATGGGCACGTACTGGTGAGATGGGGTGGGTACATCGTGGTAAGATAGGATTGGTGTATGCTGGAGAGGTGGGATTAGCACACCCTGATAAGGTGGGATGGGCACATCTTGGTGAGATTGGATGGACATATGGTGATGGGATGGGATGAGCACACACTGGTGAGGTGGGATGGGCAGCTCCATATGAGATGGGACTGGAACATACTGGTAACGTGGACTGAGCACGCATTGGTGAGATGGGATGGGCACATCCTGGTGAGACGGGGTAGGGACACACTGGTCGGATATGCTGGACACCCAGTGGTGGAGTGGTATGGACTGAGGAACACTCAAATGATGGACACACACAGGTTTGCTGTGATGGTCTCATGCTGATGGAATGGGAATCTGCTGGTGTGATGTGGTGTGTGAACACCAGCACAGTAAGCACAGGGGCTGTGATGTGATGGACACACACTGATGGCAGCAGCCAGCACAGTGCTTTGAGCATGCATAGTCCCTCCCTGCTCCACACTGCCCCATGTTTGCACAACCACACGTGTGCCTATGCGTGACTGTGCCGTGACCAGCATGCACCCACCCACCCACAGCCCATCACAAACAAGTGCAACCCTTATGCACAGCCTCTGCTGGTGCACGAGCTGGGGCTCTGCCATACCCCACGCCCTTATGCATCCTTCTACAAAATGGGAGCTCATATCTATGGATTTCCAGCAACCTCCCTGCAGACGCCCTGATCCTTCTCATCCTGTATTATCCCAGAAAGTCTCGACCCCTCCCATCCCACTGGGATCCTACACAATACTCTCTTTAAATTTTGTAATCAACCTGACTGCTGCTTGGCAATGCTGCTGGGGGGGAAAAACTGGAATGGTGTGGTGACAGCCTGAAGGAGCACACTGACTGCAGATCATCCCCTCTTTCTGGTAACCCTTGGAGCCAGGACTACTCCGATGTGGGGTTACCCACAGGTGTGTAACCCTTCTGAGGGCTTTCCCCATTGCCTTCCCATAGAGTTTGGCTTTGAGCAGCTGCTGCCCAGCACGGTGCCAAGGTGGGGCAGGGATGCTCTGATGTGCTCACACAAGGCTGTGCCTGGAAATATGACAGCCTGGAGGAGAGAATTTGCCATGCTCCTGCCTACAAGCCTCCCATTTTTCCCCCAAGTCTTCATTTTGCCTGGGCTTTTATTGGGAACATGGTTGCATTTGGGCTCTAGAAATCCATTTTCTAGACCTGAATGTTATCTTCCAGATAAAATTCAGCCATCGCCTGTCAGATCCCAGGGAGGAGGCTGAGGTCCATCCCTGTGCATGATGCCAGCTGGATCAAGCAGCCATTGGGGCACTCAGAGGATTCCCCCATTCCCAGAGGAGCTGGGTGTGGCTGGAGCCCTGCTGCAGGTCACCTCTGCCAGCTTCCTGCCATCATCAATAATTCAGTTACTATTGCCCTCTGGATGCCTCTGGGCACATCTGGGGGCTGCAGGGTGGGGGTGAGGCTGGGTGGATGCTGCAGAGCCCCATCCAGGCATGACTGTGCCGGGGGAGCGGGGAGCATGGGAAAAGCCTTGGGATTAAAAGGAAAAAAAGGGTGTGGGGCAGGGGGGTTCCAGGCTGTAAGGACTGGGGGGGGGGGCTGCTTCTTGCTGTGTGGCTGGAGGGGGTTTGCCTCACTGGGGATGCTGAGCCTGCTGAGGTGAGGGTGCAAGTGTGGAAATGATCAAACCCCCCCTCTTCCACGACCCCTCCCCAAACTTTTCAAGGCATTTATTTCCAGAAACTAACCCCTCAATACACCCATCCAAAGCTGTACATCTATCCAGAGCAACATTCATCCAAAGCAGTACATCCGATGTCCAACCCCCATCCATCCATCCATCCATCCATCCATCCATCCATCCATCCATCCAATCCCATACATCCATCTGACCACATCCATCCAACTCCATCCATTCATCCAACTCCATGCATCCACCCAATCCCAATGCATATATTCAACCACATCCATCCATCTGACTCCATCCATATACATATCCAGCCCCATCCATCTGTCCCACTCTATCCATTCAACTCCATACGTCCATCCAGCTCCATCCATCCATCCATCCAGTCCCAATACATGTATCTGACTCCATCCATCCATCCAACCCTGTCCTCCCACCTGACTCCGTCTGTCTGTCCATCCATCCATCCATCCGTCCGTCCGTCCGTCCATCCATGCAAAACCAGTACATGTATCCTACCCCCTGTGTCCATCCAAAGCAATGTATCCATCCAACCCCACACCCATCTATCCAATCCCACACACACACCCAAACCCATACCTCTGTCCTGCTCCACACATCCATTTCACCTCCTCATCCACAAAACACACCCCATCCATAAGACCCCTCCCTCCCCCTGCATCTATCTAAAGCAATGCATCCATCGGACCCCCCAGACCCATATCCAACTCCATACATCCATCTGACCCCCTCCCGAATTAAACAACCCCCCC